TACATGGAAGGATGGAACAAAAATCCCGAATACAAGTTGTAAATGGCGATATTTTTAAAAATATATTTTAAATTTTGGACTTAATAATATATTACACTCGAAAAATCCAACGAATAACAGGAAAATTTATTACGAGATCATTACAGTAATTAATTGCGAAAAATTGTAAAAAATTATTCCTAAAATTCGCAATTTCAACTGCATGACTGTTAAGAATATTTAGGTTTGAGCATTTCTTTTAATGCTGACAATAGCTAAGCGTAAATGGAAATTCGAAATCAGAAAATAACCTTTTCTTAGTAAATTATAATATAGTAAGTCTTCATATATATTTTAAGATATACTACATAGGTTTAAATAGAATTTTGACATAAGATATAATATACTATAGCGTAGAATATAAATTTATTATTATACTATATGCTTATAATACACTTACAGTATATTAATAAGTTATTATTAGAACCGAATTATCCACTAGGCACGTGAGATACGCGTCTTGTGGGCCCCGAAATTTGAAAAATAAAGCAATTTTACCGTTGCGGTTGCGTATCATAATTAATAAATATAATTCTATAGTTATAATCAAACGCCGTTAGTTTATGATGTAAAATTATGCGGAATCCCCAATCTGGCGTGTCTAGGCCCTCGGCGCCTCGAAAAGTCTTAATCTATCACTAGTTATTATACTTTACAATATATAGTGTAATAAAATGAATTTTTTTAACGGTATAATACGTTTATTTACTTTTCTAATTTCTACTTACTTATGTAACTAAATATGTTAGTAATGTACAGTACAATACTTACTTAAGTAATTTGTTACTTACTCGCTTACTTAGTTACACGCTTAGTTCGGTGACTAATTTAGACCTTCGCGGGCCCTAGACAAAATAATATTTACGGGCCTCTTTACAAATTTTGAATTACTACAAATATAAATAAAATTGCAATATTTAAAATTAAAGTATTTTTATTTTTACATTTGAATATCTTACTTACGTTGTATTTTTGGGGCTACAATAAAATTATGCAGCGATAAACATTATATTTTTCTCAACGAACACCGCTTTATTCTGAACTTCGCCGAACGGATCTAATGCGCGTATACAAACATTAATTCTCAATGATGATGTTAGATGTCGGAGCGGTAGGTAATGTCATTCTTAATTATTAACCCTCGAATATGGCGCTAGTAATATAGCAATTCGCAATACTAATAAAACAATGGCACGTTTAGAACCTATTACGGGCCCGGGCAAGTGCCTCGCCTGCCTTGTGCCAAATTAGGCCCTGGCTTAGTTATTTATTTGCTTGTTTATTTATTTACTTACTTACTTATTATCACCGTAGTGTATCCGGACGTCATGGAAAGGGAATATGAGAAATAAATTTGTTCATTAAAAATGTTTTTATAGACTAATAAATCAAACATTATTTATACGTAACTTAGTCTTATTAACATTATAAAATCATTAAGTATTTATCACACAAATTTATGTATTTATTTTAAAATTTTAATTAATAAGAGCTGCTTTTCCCCCCCGAATACGCCTTTATTTACAATACTTGCTTATTTGCTTGTATAAGTTATAATAAACTTTAAAAAATAAAAAATTAGTTTATACTTCACTTATCACTAAAATATAATATAGGCTACAGTATTAATTTATTCACTTATTAAAGATTTAATGATTTAAAATACAATAATAGTAATATGTATGTTATTGCCGTTATAAAGCGATTAAAATTCATAAAATTTAAATAATTATATTATAAAAAATGTTTTAATGTTTATATAGGCCTACCTGTAGTAGCTATTAGGTAAAAGTTATTAGTATAATGACGAGAGATTTCGTGAGTAATTAAAATATTACAAATGATTAATTAATTAAGGTATAATATATAAAATTATACGTATATTTTGCTATTTTTAAAAATTTAATGCGCTTTTAGTTTTAGAAGGAAATGAATGCACTTGCAAAAATGTTAAAAAGCATTAGGTCCTATATACAGTACATTATACTGCACTACACTACTATACTACACTATACAGAACTATACTACACAAATATATCCGTGTGTGTGTGTGTATTAAAAGCATTATAAATTTATAATGAAGTATAGAAGATAAATAATGCCGAGTGCATAAAATAAAGCGTAGACAAAATAGCAAAATGTTTAACTTCGTCGTTGACTTACATAATAAATAAGCGCTCTGCGTAAGCTTCTAGTCTGTTATTATCTATTAATTAGTAATAAGTAACCGAGCCCGCTAGTCTTATTGTTATGATTTCAGACCTTTCCGATTTTTATTAATTATCGCGCGATGTTCGGAATGCCTTTCGGTTTACTTAATAGCCCTCTTCAGCCGTATACGCATTTCGACAATACGGCATTATAATTAAAATACATATAAATTAATCTAATAAATGGAAATATATTATACAGATAAACCGTGGACATCGCGCGTTAATTAATAAATAAAAATCGGAAAGGCGTGTGATGAGTCTGAAATCGTAACGATAAGGTCAGCGGGCTCATAGTTATTTATTACAGTTAAACGGTACAAAATACGTCTGTAAAAGAGAATATAAAGTCTTAAGTTTTATGTGTATATTTTATAGTTTAAAATATATAAATTGCAACCATCCCGTCAGATGGTTATTTTGTAGACGTTTTCGTTTGAAAAAGAGTTCCCCTAAAAAATGACCGCTGTTTAAAGGTGGCAATTATTGCAGGTTGGACTATACGTAAAATCATATTTTTTTATTATTTATTTCAAATATTTTTATAGAAATTTTAAAAATAAGAACTAATGCATTTTTATTCACAATTTTTAGTGATTTGGAAAGGAGAGAAATTTGTATTCTTTTCTCCGTCAGGTTGTCCATTCTCACGATTTCTCATTAACTAGAAACGATAAAGATTTTGTATATCGTTTTATTGTATGTAGGCCTACGATTGCCTGTCCGTAAAATGTTATAAGAACTATCAGAATAAGGCTAGAGATATTATTTGGCTATGTCGAGGGATGATTTGGTATGCGAATACATTAAAAATTTCACTTAAATAAAATCTCTACGCAATCTCACTCCTTAATTTACAAGGTGCCCAAAAGTCGCTTAACTGTTTTTATCTTTGTATGTTATTTATAATTCTTTTTATATACAGTAGCCTGTATATTTTACACAGCTATATAATGACTCATTGTTTTTCAAAACTGATAACGGCTAATATTTAATATTAAATATGACGAGAAAATAAATATTTTCTCTTAAAAATGTAGGCCATATTTAGTAATTTCTCGTGTATAAATTTCAAAATATAGAGATAATGAAAGAAAGTACGCATTATAGTTTTAGGTAGCTGAGTCATTGGCATATTTCGCTTTGATTCGTCATATTATTTTTGAATTATTACTTTTATAAATATTAAAAAATGATCTTTGATATAAATATTACAATTATCACATTAATTTAAACGAAATAATTTAATAACGCTATTTTTATTATTGTACGCGACAGTGACGAGTACAATAATAATACGGATACGTTGCGACATACGAGGCCCTTCGTTTCTATCAAATAATAATAAATTATAATCGCCAGGCCTTTGGTTATAATGCCGTAATGCGAGTCATTAGGTTATAGTCTAGTAGCGACGGGCATTAAGTTGTAGCGTCGCTACGCGAGGCCCTAAGTTATAATGCCGTGGCGCGAGTAATAGATAATAGCCTACCGTGTAGTAGAACGAGGCCCTAAACTGTAGTTTGTTTAATTTATGAGTAAATTATCTCGTTCAAATTTAAGATGTTGAACTACCTTATAAATTTGCATAAGAAAACATTGTTATAAATATAAACAATCATAAAAGAGGAAAAAATTAAGTTTATTCGATTAATGTTTGAATATTCTCAACATAAATTTTATTAAATATCGGCACATGTTTTGTTTTTACTCAATACAAATCCTTTTAATTTCTTTAAATGTATATCGCTCTATATGAAATTTAAATCTACGAATATNTAAATTATATCGATAATTTCATTAATAATTTTTTTTATTAATTCAACGAGTTTAAAATGCTGAAAATAATAAAAAATGAAAAATATTTTACGTTAAATTTGAAAATTATTTTAAAGTAATATTATTCCAAATGAATGACGATTCATTAATTTAAATCAAATATTGAGTTAAAATTTTGAAAATTGAACATTTGAACAGGTCCTATGAAAGAGCCAACGAGTCCTCACATTTACGAGGTTCCTCATCTATTAAGAAAAATATATATAATCCAATTTTGTACATTTTTAATATAATGCGGGCCTCGAGTCTCTTGACCTTTGACCGGCCTTAATCGAAACTATAAAAAATATAATTTTATTTTAAAATACAGAAAATCTAAGCTAAACAGCAATAAAGTCTACCGATTAATAAATTATTAATTATTTGTTAAAGATTAAGGAGGAAAGTATACCTTAATTCTTCAAAATCGTATTAAATTTAAAGGCGAGTTAAAGTATATTATCTACTGGAAGTCTGTGTGTGTGAGATACTAATCCATCCTAAATAAGACATTGGTAAATAAACAACCCTTTGGTCGTCCAGAGACCAGATCCAGCGCACGTGCAGCATCCCCCTCAACTTCCGTTTCCGTCCCCATATCCGAAGAGATGACTCAAGATTGAACAAACACACCGCATATATCGTATGATATATTAGTTCTTAAATCAGAAAAATAAATAAAAAATATTCGACTATTTCCAATATTTTATAAAGCGTCTACGTGTCGATCTACTCCGTCGGTACTCGTACAAATGTGCAGAAGCGTGTATAAAAAATATATATATATGATAATACACAGACCGGCTGATATACATGTTCAATTTCATTCGTCATCTTTAAAGTTTATAATAATATAAAACGGTATATTTTTATTATTTCTGTATTTACCTAAGATTTTGTTGTGTATGGTTTCCTTTCTGTCCGCACCACATTTCCGGTGGCAGCAGCAGTGCCAAGTAAGAAAAGTTTAATTTAACTGACACCATGTAAGAGATTTACGATGAGACTGGGAGGTACGTATTTAGTTAAACTATGTTCCATTACTGTCTGAAGTTTGGTGGTATATCAGGCCGTATTAACCACATCCTGCCACATTGTTGAAATTACCGGTCGTGTTGTGAACACCAAATAACCAAACCCTTAACACTTCCAAATCAACAAAACCAAGCACCTGTTATCTTTCACTTCACCCTTAGTTTTTAAGTCTAGCTGGTCATAAAAGTCACTCTGATGCTGCGAAAGTGAAATGTTTATACACAATGGACAGTACAATACTCTCTATCACTACTACCCAGTCTCAAGTTTTGATTTTTCTAAACCCATCTTCACCTTTTTTATATTTTGGCTGCCTTCCCTCTTTCTAAAAATAAAATTACCTCGTTGTTTGTCATCGGAAAATGTTTAATTGTGTAGTGTTACTCGAAAACACTTTAAAATAAATTCATTCTACTCTTTTAAGGAGTAGATAATTGTAAAAATGGAAGATTTTAATTAAGGACCATTCAGTATATTTACAGAGGAGCTTTGTCCAGATGGTTTTGGTTCATTTTGTAGTTCAAATATATAGTCATACTAGTAGAGCGGATGGGAGTAATAAAGAGACGTTCCAGAGTCTGAAAGTCTTTTAAGAACCCATAGGGGTTCTTCCAGAAAGGACCATTACTTTGGGCAGGTGGCGAAATTGGGAGATACTTGTGCTATTGAAGAAACATTTCGACTGACCCGTAATAAAAGCAGATAACGAACGTTTTTCTTCGTAAACACTTCCATTTAAACGATGCTATCGAAACTTTTTCGCTTTTAAATTAATAAGTAAATTAAATTAAATTCAAATAATAATTAATTAAGTAAAAATTTCAATAGGGGCCCTAACATAGATTTATATGTATTAAGTAGGTTTATACTGACCTTCGAGATAGATTTTTTTGTCCCCTGGACCAGAGAAAATTAGGGGCTCGCAGTGATTCCTATTTTTTATTAACAAAAAATAAAACCTTTAAAACTACTTTTTATTAATAAATAAATATTCTATGTATTTCATTCATTTATTCAAAATAAAAAAAGGTAAAGAGGCCCACTAAGGAGCAAAAAGGACTCGCTCTATTCCCAGGCCCCGTATAAATTCTAATAAATTCATGCTAGACACTAGCCTACCATAATTTATATAAACGTAATAAAGGTATGTTAAATATACTAATTTGTTCGTACCACCGATGCATCCAGAAATTTTTTCTAGTGGGGTTCACATATTATTTTAATACATTAAAATAGTTTTATAGGAGGAATCCGGACTCCTCTTCCCCATCTCTCGTATGCGTCTACGCTTAGTACATTTTATTACATTTAGATACGTACAGTACATTGTACTAAGTATACTTAGCACCCACTTAGTATAATGTATTGTACATACTGCATCTAAATATAATTCACTATAGTCATATCTTTACAGTTGTCTATGCTACAGTCTTTCGTAATAAAGCTATTTAAAGATAAGCTACTTTCTTTCAACCGTTTTTGTTTTTGTTTTTTCTATTCAAATTCTATTAAATTATAAAGAAAAACGGAAAAACTTTATAAAAATTACAGAAATTTTGTTTAAAATATATATATATATATAAATCTAATATTTTTATGTAGATGATACGTGAAAAATAAATTGCATTTTCTTATATTATATTCTTTTGTTTCGCGCTATTAGATTCTTCAGACACGGATAAGTACAGTACATTCCTGCGCGATCCGTGTATTCGCATAGAACTCCACATTTCATTAATGCTGGATTTCGGCCCCAGGAAAAGGCCTCTATTTATAGTTTATGTCGGGTCTGACAATAATACAGCGGGTACTGTATTGTATAATATTGTATTATATGATACGAAGTTTTATATAAACTCGCAAGCAAAGCTGAAGTTAAGGGATAGTTATAATGAGACTTAATTGGACTCTTAGGCTTATATATTATAACGTATAACAGTCCCTTTCCCTTCATCAATTAATGACAATTGAAAATGTGAGTCCCTAAGTTATAAACTCGCGATACGAAGCCCTAAGCTGCAGCTTGTTCAGATCATACCGAAACTTGGCCCTGTTTACAAAGTATTTGGCAAGTCAAGCGTATACAGTAAAGTATAAACCTGTAAGAACTAGGCAGGGGGCTAGACGAATCGAAATTTGCCTAATACTGTACCTCGTATAATTTAAAACAGATGCTAATTGTCTAATTAAATTATACCGTATTCATATTGTTAGCATTTCGTTTTAATTGCACACAGTTGGGCTAATTTTAAATAAGGAAATAACTTAATTATACTGTATTTACTTTTATGGACTTTTACGCTGTTTTTTATGTACTATGTTTTACAATGTAGTACATAGTAATTTATATCGTAGTCAATTAGGCGACTCAAGATCAATGGGACACAAGGGTTCCAAATTTATTATTATTTTTTAAATCTAAAAAATATAAATGTTTTCGAGGCCTCCTAAACGTAAATCCCCGCCAATACGTATAGTAAAACAATCCAATTTTTAAAACGATTAACTGAATTTCGGGCGTTTTTCTGTTTATTGGATTGAGAAATTCGTTGAAAATACATTTAAAAATGAATTTTATAGATTAATTGATGGCTAGAAGGAAATTACAAGAAAGTTTCTCGTTCACACTAGAAGACAGATCATTTAGACACTGGATGAGAAAATGGCGTCATCCACGATATCAATGCGGAGTTTGCAGGGTGAGTTGACGTTAATTAAAAAAAAATTAATTAATTTTTTTAAATATACAAATATTGTTTATTTTTATAAAATAATCTAAAATTATTTTAACCCAATTTCACGATTTTATTACACAATTAAAGAAGGAACTTTATTATTATTATTTTTTTATATCAGACATCTGTTCTTTCTTCGGATTAGAGTTGTCGTTTGTTAAAAGATACAATTCCGGATCTAAACACGTTTTTTTTAAAGACAACTAACAACAGGTGGTTGCAGTCTAGACTTTCTCGTTCTCCCATTGGTTGGCAATTTAAAAATTTGAATTTAAACTAATCAATCAATGTTCATTTCGTTTCAATTAAATTATTAATTCGTAATTTTTTTGTTCTGGTAATTATTTAATTAAATGTTTAGCTTAAAAAATACAAATATATACTTTTATTTAACAAACGTGAGAAATTTAAAATAAAATTATTGCGTATTTAAATCACATAAATTTATTTATTTATTTATTTTTTAATTTTATAACTAAAATATTTAAATTATAAATAATGTAATAAAAATAATATAAAGTTAATAATGTAAATTTAAAATACTCATTAAATTACGATATAAGAATTTCATACGAACAGCTCTTAAAATTACAGCTTTATTAATGTGTCGCCATCTGTCGGGATAAATCTAAAGTTATTGAAATCTATATAATCAGATATTGATAAATAAATATATTTTTAAATAACTAGGACTATTTGATTACATAGAAAATTATTCGATGAAATCAGATTATAATTTAATTACATTAAAAAATATATTTTTATCGCAAAATTTAAATTCTATGTATAAATAAATACAACTTCGCACGACAGTTTTTTATTCTTTTTATAAAACTTAAAAATATTGTTGCAATTTATAATTTTTATGATTTTATTGAAACATTCAATATGTAAATTAAAGAAATCTGAAAATAAGATACCTTTTTTGTGGCGCCATCTCTTATCGAAAATAAACGAGATATTTAATAATTTTTCTAAAAACTAATTATTTCTTAGAATTATTAATTATAAAGTATTTAAATTGATATTTAAAATGGCTTAATTTAGTTGATAAACATAAATTTAATTAACTTATTCACTTTAAAATAAATTTATAAAAAATGCATTTTAATATAAAATTGATTACTTTTTATATCTTATTTTAATTTAAAAATATCCCGCTTACGAAAAAGTTACAAAACATAATTCACGTGACATTATGACGTATTAACACGTACTGTTTTAACACGTGACATTATGACGTATTAACACGTAAAAATTTGAACTGTATCGTTCAAATTTTTAAACTAACAAGTAAGAAATACATGGAAGGATGGAACAAAAATCCCGAATACAAGTTGTAAATGGCGATATTTTTAAAAATATATTTTAAATTTTGGACTTAATAATATATTACACTCGAAAAATCCAACGAATAACAGGAAAATTTATTACGAGATCATTACAGTAATTAATTGCGAAAAATTGTAAAAAATTATTCCTAAAATTCGCAATTTCAACTGCATGACTGTTAAGAATATTTAGGTTTGAGCATTTCTTTTAATGCTGACAATAGCTAAGCGTAAATGGAAATTCGAAATCAGAAAATAACCTTTTCTTAGTAAATTATAATATAGTAAGTCTTCATATATATTTTAAGATATACTACATAGGTTTAAATAGAATTTTGACATAAGATATAATATACTATAGCGTAGAATATAAATTTATTATTATACTATATGCTTATAATACACTTACAGTATATTAATAAGTTATTATTAGAACCGAATTATCCACTAGGCACGTGAGATACGCGTCTTGTGGGCCCCGAAATTTGAAAAATAAAGCAATTTTACCGTTGCGGTTGCGTATCATAATTAATAAATATAATTCTATAGTTATAATCAAACGCCGTTAGTTTATGATGTAAAATTATGCGGAATCCCCAATCTGGCGTGTCTAGGCCCTCGGCGCCTCGAAAAGTCTTAATCTATCACTAGTTATTATACTTTACAATATATAGTGTAATAAAATGAATTTTTTTAACGGTATAATACGTTTATTTACTTTTCTAATTTCTACTTACTTATGTAACTAAATATGTTAGTAATGTACAGTACAATACTTACTTAAGTAATTTGTTACTTACTCGCTTACTTAGTTACACGCTTAGTTCGGTGACTAATTTAGACCTTCGCGGGCCCTAGACAAAATAATATTTACGGGCCTCTTTACAAATTTTGAATTACTACAAATATAAATAAAATTGCAATATTTAAAATTAAAGTATTTTTATTTTTACATTTGAATATCTTACTTACGTTGTATTTTTGGGGCTACAATAAAATTATGCAGCGATAAACATTATATTTTTCTCAACGAACACCGCTTTATTCTGAACTTCGCCGAACGGATCTAATGCGCGTATACAAACATTAATTCTCAATGATGATGTTAGATGTCGGAGCGGTAGGTAATGTCATTCTTAATTATTAACCCTCGAATATGGCGCTAGTAATATAGCAATTCGCAATACTAATAAAACAATGGCACGTTTAGAACCTATTACGGGCCCGGGCAAGTGCCTCGCCTGCCTTGTGCCAAATTAGGCCCTGGCTTAGTTATTTATTTGCTTGTTTATTTATTTACTTACTTACTTATTATCACCGTAGTGTATCCGGACGTCATGGAAAGGGAATATGAGAAATAAATTTGTTCATTAAAAATGTTTTTATAGACTAATAAATCAAACATTATTTATACGTAACTTAGTCTTATTAACATTATAAAATCATTAAGTATTTATCACACAAATTTATGTATTTATTTTAAAATTTTAATTAATAAGAGCTGCTTTTCCCCCCCGAATACGCCTTTATTTACAATACTTGCTTATTTGCTTGTATAAGTTATAATAAACTTTAAAAAATAAAAAATTAGTTTATACTTCACTTATCACTAAAATATAATATAGGCTACAGTATTAATTTATTCACTTATTAAAGATTTAATGATTTAAAATACAATAATAGTAATATGTATGTTATTGCCGTTATAAAGCGATTAAAATTCATAAAATTTAAATAATTATATTATAAAAAATGTTTTAATGTTTATATAGGCCTACCTGTAGTAGCTATTAGGTAAAAGTTATTAGTATAATGACGAGAGATTTCGTGAGTAATTAAAATATTACAAATGATTAATTAATTAAGGTATAATATATAAAATTATACGTATATTTTGCTATTTTTAAAAATTTAATGCGCTTTTAGTTTTAGAAGGAAATGAATGCACTTGCAAAAATGTTAAAAAGCATTAGGTCCTATATACAGTACATTATACTGCACTACACTACTATACTACACTATACAGAACTATACTACACAAATATATCCGTGTGTGTGTGTGTATTAAAAGCATTATAAATTTATAATGAAGTATAGAAGATAAATAATGCCGAGTGCATAAAATAAAGCGTAGACAAAATAGCAAAATGTTTAACTTCGTCGTTGACTTACATAATAAATAAGCGCTCTGCGTAAGCTTCTAGTCTGTTATTATCTATTAATTAGTAATAAGTAACCAAGCCCGCTAGTCTTATTGTTATGATTTCAGACCTTTCCGATTTTTATTAATTATCGCGCGATGTTCGGAATGCCTTTCGGTTTACTTAATAGCCCTCTTCAGCCGTATACGCATTTCGACAATACGGCATTATAATTAAAATACATATAAATTAATCTAATAAATGGAAATATATTATACAGATAAACCGTGGACATCGCGCGTTAATTAATAAATAAAAATCGGAAAGGCGTGTGATGAGTCTGAAATCGTAACGATAAGGTCAGCGGGCTCATAGTTATTTATTACAGTTAAACGGTACAAAATACGTCTGTAAAAGAGAATATAAAGTCTTAAGTTTTATGTGTATATTTTATAGTTTAAAATATATAAATTGCAACCATCCCGTCAGATGGTTATTTTGTAGACGTTTTCGTTTGAAAAAGAGTTCCCCTAAAAAATGACCGCTGTTTAAAGGTGGCAATTATTGCAGGTTGGACTATACGTAAAATCATATTTTTTTATTATTTATTTCAAATATTTTTATAGAAATTTTAAAAATAAGAACTAATGCATTTTTATTCACAATTTTTAGTGATTTGGAAAGGAGAGAAATTTGTATTCTTTTCTCCGTCAGGTTGTCCATTCTCACGATTTCTCATTAACTAGAAACGATAAAGATTTTGTATATCGTTTTATTGTATGTAGGCCTACGATTGCCTGTCCGTAAAATGTTATAAGAACTATCAGAATAAGGCTAGAGATATTATTTGGCTATGTCGAGGGATGATTTGGTATGCGAATACATTAAAAATTTCACTTAAATAAAATCTCTACGCAATCTCACTCCTTAATTTACAAGGTGCCCAAAAGTCGCTTAACTGTTTTTACCTTTGTATGTTATTTATAATTCTTTTTATATACAGTAGCCTGTATATTTTACACAGCTATATAATGACTCATTGTTTTTCAAAACTGATAACGGCTAATATTTAATATTAAATATGACGAGAAAATAAATATTTTCTCTTAAAAATGTAGGCCATATTTAGTAATTTCTCGTGTATAAATTTCAAAATATAGAGATAATGAAAGAAAGTACGCATTATAGTTTTAGGTAGCTGAGTCATTGGCATATTTCGCTTTGATTCGTCATATTATTTTTGAATTATTACTTTTATAAATATTAAAAAATGATCTTTGATATAAATATTACAATTATCACATTAATTTAAACGAAATAATTTAATAACGCTATTTTTATTATTGTACGCGACAGTGACGAGTACAATAATAATACGGATACGTTGCGACATACGAGGCCCTTCGTTTCTATCAAATAATAATAAATTATAATCGCCAGGCCTTTGGTTATAATGCCGTAATGCGAGTCATTAGGTTATAGTCTAGTAGCGACGGGCATTAAGTTGTAGCGTCGCTACGCGAGGCCCTAAGTTATAATGCCGTGGCGCGAGTAATAGATAATAGCCTACCGTGTAGTAGAACGAGGCCCTAAACTGTAGTTTGTTTAATTTATGAGTAAATTATCTCGTTCAAATTTAAGATGTTGAACTACCTTATAAATTTGCATAAGAAAACATTGTTATAAATATAAACAATCATAAAAGAGGAAAAAATTAAGTTTATTCGATTAATGTTTGAATATTCTCAACATAAATTTTATTAAATATCGGCACATGTTTTGTTTTTACTCAATACAAATCCTTTTAATTTCTTTAAATGTATATCGCTCTATATGAAATTTAAATCTACGAATATTTTCGTGTTTAAACTACTTTATTTTCTAGATTAAATGTCGGATAGTCTCACTCAATTAGTGGATGACGATCACCGATTCGTCTTCCTGATAAATGTTAAGTCTATTGCTATTACAAAAGGTAATTCATCAATGAAAAGAAGATTCGGATACGATGACGTATAATTCGTTTAAATTTCTTTTTCTCGCTTATTTTTATTTTGATAAATCGTTTTTTCCCAATATTTCTTAAAAATATATTCATTTATTTAATATTAATAATGCACAATGATAAAGCCAACGAGAGCAACTTCCTAATCTTTTCAAAATTAATTTCTCAGAACGCAATCCGTACCGAAATTAGAAAAATCGAATTTTTATAGTAATTACTAGGAGCGAAACGACGTACACGCGACATTCGTATAATTCGTATAACTCCGAAACAAAATTAACTTTTAAATTCAAATTAATACTTCTTTAAAATAATTAAAATTTCTAAAAAAATATAGCATTTTATCTCATTTTTTTTAAATATAAGAAAAAAAAATTTCTATATTTAAAATTTCTTAAATTATTCGGGCGCCATCTATTATTAAAAAGTGGGAGGAACGCTGCAGTCACGTGTCTAGTTCGCATTGCACGATGGGAATTGTCATCGGGAAAACAGAAAAGCAGCCATCATGAGTCGATGCCGAATGGAAATGATTTAAATAAATCATTTAAAGATACGTATATTTAAAATTCTCGTTTGTTTCTGTCCTGCAGTCAGTTTCGATGATGGCAGCGACCGGAATAACTCAACAAGGGAGCAGCAAATTGAAGAAGAAGCACTTCAAACCCAAATACCAAAAGACCAAGTTGTTTCGAGCGAATGAACCATTGCTTAGTGTATTTATGTGGGGTGTGAATCACACTGTAAGTACATAAATCCTTATTTATTTCCTCTCTACCGTATTAACATTCCATTTCCCTAATCATAAATATCATAAATCCGTCTTAAACAATAAAATTCCCATCAATTATAGGCTACAACCGTCCATTAATACTCATATCTGTACCAGTTAACTTTAGGTAATTTGCCTATGTAAACATGTATACTATAATTACCTAAAGGTAATGCCTACCGTAAAATCAATTATATGCTTTATTCAAATTTCCTACAAACTTTTTACTCAACTTCGATACAACTTCTACCTTCAAATTTTTTACTTTAAGTACAATTATACTAATATAACTTTATGTTTTTCTTTTATGGTTAACTTCGTAATACATATATTAAATTACTTATATATATATAAACATTTAAAGCGAGCAAACAGAGTTTTGTCTAAGTTGTGAATTGTAGACTCTGGGTATTTTTACTTGATCCGAGCTGTAATGCAAGAAATTCTCCTTTCCGTCAAGTGAGAATAAATTTTTATCTTCCACGGTTTGTGTGGCCTGCCCGAAGATCAATGCTTATGAATATATAATAAAATATGATTAGCAATGTTATATATAACGACTTTGTTATTGCAGGCTAATGTAAGTGAAAGACGGACACCAATAAGCTTTTTGTTATTAAAGTTACCTTATGTTGAGAGAAATTCTTCTTTATTGACCTCTTGACTGTCGTAGACTCGTTTTGAACATATAAAATTTTGCATTTATAAGAATAAAATACTTAAGTGAGAAGCGTGAGTTTTTTCCAAATTTATCTTCTCTAAGTCTCTATTCTTCTGTAATGAGATGCGTTTTGTGACGTTGCAGAAATGTCGTTACTTCTGGTTAAATGCGTCGTCTTAAATTAATTTTTATATAGTGGCATGTGTTGGTTAGATAAAATAGTAAAAATTTATGTTTTGTATAGTTGCTGATTTGAATTAATTTAATAAAAAATGTTTTACATATTTATATATTCAAATTATTTTTAGTAAAAATGATTCATAACATGCTGAAAAATCAAAATAATAATGTATATTCTAAATAGTAATATAATTAAAATTATAATATATTTAATTATAAGTATATATTCAAATTACGTTGTATTTAATCTTAATATTTAATAATTCCGACACCAGTATTCTGATGTCGATCGGGTCGAATCCGCCGGGGGCTCGGCTCAAAATGCATCTTTGACAAAACCGTGAGACCATAAAGAAACTTCTTAAACCATAGACGACTCCTCGTGCGACGAGATCCCTTTAGACTGGCATTTCTCGACGTGGGGCAATTTGAATGCTTTGGGGGCAATGCGCAAATAATTAATATTTGTTACATTTTTACTTCAGTTCTATATATAGGCCTATATATATTCTGAAACTTTATTTGCTATTTTTTCATATTGCTTCATATATTATTATTATTATTAACAATTTTTTGAGGATTTTCTACGCGGTACTTGAACTGTCCTTTCCTTTTATTGTTCTTATTCAAAGACACCATCTTTTTTTCACAGGGGGGGACATTAGGATTTTAAAAATGCTTTGGTGGGACATGGCCCAAAAAAGGTTGAGAAACACTGCTTTAGACTGTCACGATATTTGTTATAATTTATTTATATATATAAATTGAACTTATTTTTGGCTTTTATATATATATATATAATTTTAAAAGTTTGTAATGTTATAAAATGATTTAATATCTTTAATTAGTATATATCTGCAATGATTAATCTGATTAGATTTTAATGTAAGTTCTGATTATTAATTTACAGAAAATAGATAAAATGCATGTTTACAAATAACTATTGTATATTTTCTGGAAAGAGAAAAATAACAGAAGAGTAATTTAAGATGTTTAGACATGGCTATCGGTTTTAGGATTGATTTAATATCATTAACGGAAAAATAATTTACACAGATTAGATTTCGACTATTATTAAAGTGATTTGGTTGATTGATTTTTGGAAATTTAAAATGATTTTCTTTATTATTTTGAGATTTTTAAGAATTAAATTGCAAATAGACTTTTGTAAATAGATTAATAAATAATACTTGTAAATGTGAAAAAATTGCTGGAATTTTTATCAAGTTATTATTTAATCTTATCTGATCTAAAAGAAAGTACAATATTATCATGTCAAAATTGTATACTTGTTCACCTGCTGTCTAGAGCATTGATTTGGCTTTAATTTTTAACTCTGCAAAAATTTTTACTCAATTTTTATAATGATTAGAGCTAAAATCTTTAATATACAAGTATGGTATTTAACTTTTTACTGCTTAAATGTTTTTAATAATTTAACTAAAAAAAATAACATTAAAGTTAATAAACGCCAGTTTTATTTAGTTACTTCAAGATTGTACAAAAAGTCAACTATTGTTGAAGAACAGTTTTTTTATATATACATTTCTGAAAGGAAACTGTGCATAATTCATTAAAATAATCAATTACTGCTGAAGATGACAAAATTAAAAATATATGCATCTGAATCAAACGTTTTGATTGTCTTTTCAAGTTTGCAGTGATTATCCCTACTTAACCTTTGTTCTTTATCTAAGATTGAATAGAAGGGAAAAGATCACGAACAATTGATTATGAAATTAATTTTCAATAAATTGTTTAAATAATATATTAAAAAAACTGTAGTATGTTTGGTATTTGAACTATGTTTTTCCAATTCAAAGGCACTCTTTATGAAGTGTTTTTTTAAGGAACAGCTGATAGAGTTATGAGCTGGGGGAAAAAGGATTCTGGTTATGTAATTATGTAATAGAGATGGAATTGTCAATCTAGTAACAGCTGTAACTATCGTATGAATGACTTTTGACCTTCAATCTGTCGTCGATACATTTTGCATCTACGAACGATTCTTTTCATGGGAAACGACAATTATTAATGCTCATTAATTATTAATGGAGGAAACGCGAAATCGCAAAATAAACTATTGGGCCATTTTTTCTTTTGCAGTTTACGACAACGATAGACGGGATTTTTATTTATAGAATTCAAGGATTTCTACATTTTTAATTAATGCATTCGGAAAATGAATCGAATTCTTTCTTCCTTTCCGGTATCGATTTCGTATGGAAGTGTATTAAGTGATGCATAATTTGCTGCATTAGGATAGATTTTTTTTCCTATCCTTCTTCCTCTTCTACAGAACATCGGAATTTTTATATTCTAGAAAGAATAATATACTATTTTTAGTTGTTGTTTACGCTTTAAAGTTGAATGTGCTTGTAAAAAAGGCGTTACAAACTGTATACATTCATAGGTTTCTAGATAACCTGTATTTGAAATTCATTCTCTGCTTTGTTACTCCGAAGATCGTTATCGATAGAATGTATATCGATTAATTGAATGTATATATGTATTTTTTACTGATTAAAGGGTAAAAAATTCTGGTTGTTGCACCTAAATAAATTAAATGATGGTTCTGGTACAGTACTTTTGACCTTGGTTTTTTCAACCAGCCGTATCGCCATTGAATGAAAGCTGCTAGTTACATTTTTCCTCACTTTCTTTTATTATTCTAAAATTTACTTTAGAAGAGGAAAGTAAAAAAATAATAATAAAAACATAAAATATTTATTTTTATCTATAAAATTACTTGGATATAATTGTTTAAAATTATATTTAGACCCTTAAGAGAGGAATTTTATTCGGTAATTTGGTGAAGTTTGCCGCTTTATGAAGAAAATTAAAAGTAAAGCAAAATGAATGATTTAATTTTAGAATTAAAATTCGATTTTTAAATATGTTTGACTTTTTTTATTAATATTTGAACAGCGTTTAAAAGAGTACAGCTACATTTATTAAAGATTTATTTTTATGACACGCATCATCTTTGCATCGGTTATAATGCTACGTGGTGCATATCCTACTTATGCTGGCTAGGATGACTTATATGCATATTTGAAACGAATGATGTGTAAAATGAGTAATTGATCAATGTTTATATACTTAATACTTTTCGTCGTAGTCGGTGGCAAACCATTTTTTATTGCCGTTTCCCAAACTATCTTTTTAACAGAATTTCTATAAGAACAAGTTAAATAAATAGATGACGATTTTGTGAGATTACATACTTAACTTTTTATACTAATTATGCTCTAATTTATTCCATTTTATTCATTTTTGGAAGGAAATTATACACCGTTTTCGTTACTTTAATATTTTAAAAGTGTAGTTTGCGCGTTTTTATATGTAATTTCCCTTTATTCTCGCGTATCTTTAAGCAGCTTTATAATTTATTTGAAGGAAGAAGACGACTTTTTTTCGTATAGAATTTAACCAAAGAAATAAAATGCTAAAAGAATCTCTATTGAATATATTAAAATTACGAGAGTGCATTTTAGTTTAATTTGTAGCTCCAATGATCGCACCCGCCCTTCTAATTAATAATAAATTGAAGTTATATTTTAATTAAGGTATTATTTTAAGTGGCAATCTTGAACAGTTAAATTTATATTTAACTGCGTTTTAACGTTAGTTGGGGATAAACACTGTTTCGTGTCTATTTATCGAGGGTTTTCCGCTTTTTTGAATTTTTAAAAAAATGTTCTGAATGAATGAATGAACCAGTCAGCTATTTTTAGTTTAATCGACAATCTAACCCACGCTTTTCTTCGAATTTAAAACTTAGTAGATAGATACTTCGATTGTAAAGTTTTCGAGGATGCCGCTCCTAAATCCGAATTTACAGTGTTTAGATTGCATATTGATCCAGATGGAGGGCAAAAGCCTAATATATCTCGACATAAAATACAGAATAACAATCCTGTTTCATTCTTTGAAGGATAAATATGAGAATGTAGGTAACGCAGAATCTTGTCACCTTTTTAAAAGCACGATTGAGTATGTTTAATTATTCTTAATGACTTTGCTTCAGTTAAAATACTATAAAAGAAGATAGAAATGCATAATTTATAATATACTGATCTGTTGGTTGGAGGCGGATACAAAGAAATGTCGAACTTGTAGTTTGTTTATCGGCA